TCCGAAACTCACAAAGAAAAAAGGAAGTGAGTTAGACAAAAAGAGAAGAAACTTGGACAAAAAGAAACGAAGTGACTTAGACAAATCTTTTTTATCGATAACCTCAGACCAATCAATCGAATATTGATTAATACGTAATCGAGCGAACACTACTTGAAAATGAAAATGGCTCTTCTGCTCAGAAATGAAATGTTCCTGGAAATTATTGCTCCCATTGGACCATTTGTATCTATATGCATTAGGATCCCGATTCATGGATCTCTCGGTTCGAGAAATCAAAATAAGAGGATCGAACCATTTCTTCTGACCCTTTTTCAAATTTGATAAATGTTGGTTGATCGTATATTTCATTATAGTTCTATGATTCAGAGTATCATTTCCTATTTGATCCCTTTGAATTCCATATTCGAAGTTGCGATCGGATCTATTCATTAAAAAGAATCGATTCAATACATTTCTTATGTACCCATAGGTGTTATATTGGATTTGAATCAGATTTCGGATCAATCTATATTGATTGACTGCCTCCATTATGTTGTTGCTAGCAAATACCACTATTTTTTGTTTTGGATCTTCCAAATCATTCCCGGGGGAGGTCCGGACCCATTTTTTTCTGATCCTTCGATAAAAAGATTCATTCTCTTCATAAAAAATAGGAGGTAGAACCAATAAATATTTCTTTTTCTTTTTCAAATCATTCCCGGGGGACATCCAGTTCATGATTTTATTAGCTATCGAGTTGGGTTGAGTTGGGTTATTACCCTATTTTCGAGTTGGCCAGTTTCACTTGACGAAGAAAATGTCAACATAAATGAGCAAATTTGAAATTTTTTATTTTTAAAAAATTCAACTCGACCCAAATAAAAAAAAATCTAACCCAACCGATAAATAATCTAGATTAGTCGAGTTATTGAATCATATGAACACCCGAGTATATTCTAAAATCACTTTTGTGGGTATCACCAGCTTAGCAACTCAAAATGTATCAAGAACGACAAAGCCCCAACTTTTCTAGGTTATATGGTCCCTTCAACTATTCTATATATGTGTACAAGAACATTATGTGTTGTCTTTAAATTCATCCACAATCATTGAATTGAATGTTCATTGGCAACATCAAGTTGGAGAAAATAGTTTAAATCATCAATACACTGTTTTCTTCCTTCTTTTCATTAATGATAGTGAACAAAGGATCATATTATACCATCCTAATACATTTTAAAATTTTATTCTTTTATAGGGATAAGTAGACCTGACAACCCAACCCGACCACTTAACCTAATTCGAAAAAGAGAGAGTTGGGTTGGGTTGTGAACTCCGAGTTGTTTAGGTCACCAACCCAAACAACTCAAATTTATGAGTTTGTCCAGAAGATTTTCCCAACTCAATCCAACCTGAATACACCTTGGTTCATGATATCTTCATACATCACCGTGTTATATTTATGAAAAGTCCCTCATCATCACATGCTCACAAACGTGAATGTGGAGGGCGTGAACAACATTCATACCCTACAAAGTATGTAAAAGAATTATATTAAGTAGAAGCACAAGAGGAACTAGATCATATAGTGAAGGGTCATTGTCGACAACCACCTAATAATAATGTCCACATTGTGCAAACGTTAAATTTTATCATGTTCATCAACTAATTACTTGTGATTAACATGTTTTTATTTATTAACAACAAAATTAAAAAGAAAAAAACAAACACTATTAATAAATTTAAAAAAATAATTAATCATTTCATTCCAATTTACATCATGATATTAATATCCAATGATTAAATATTATATATATTTTAAATTTAATAATATTTCTTAAAATTATATTATTAGTGTTTATACTTTTTTAACTTTACAAATCAATTTCATCCGTGTACTCTTAAAAATCAGTTTGAAAGACCACGTGGCAAATAGGTGAAAGCGCGTGCGGAAGGAGAGAGAACGTGTGGGGCCATGGCAGGGTTGCATGTGTGGTGGTCTGAGGTGGAAGAAACTCAGAGAGTGGGTCCCACTGCGAATCAGGAAACCACACGGGAGGTACCATAAGACCCCACCGCATGATATCAAAATCCCCGCATTCATTATAATAACAATCTGTGGGACACGTGTCCCCATAAGAAAACCAATCCCTAAAAATATTCATGAAACACAATAATTGGGCGTTTCTTTTTTTGCGGGTTTTAAGGCCGCTTGTTGGGCTCTAGGCCCAGCCCACCCCACCTTCCTCCACATTTCCTTTCATTTTCCGACACACCCATTTTCCTATGCTTTTTCTTTGTAGCTTCCTCTTTCCACGCGTTTAGTTCATCAAGTGTTTCTAATTCTGTTTAATTTCAATTCTTTGTGTTCAATACTTTATGTTGCCACACATGTTTTTTCTGTGTCTTAATTCTACCAAATATACGTCGGCAATGTTTGTTAGGCTTGTTCATACGACTTATTTAATTACGCATTAGAGTTTAACCACTAAATTCGGGATGGATTGGTGTGGATAACTCCGTCAATACAAGCTATAAAAGTTGGGTAATTATTATTATTATTTTTCTCAATTTGGGTTGGGCAAAATTCAAGTTGATTTACTGGGTCGACATTATTAAGAGTCCACGTTAGTTGGAGAAGAGAATAAAGTCTTCCTTATATAAAGATATGGAAACTTCATTTTTATCACAATGCGCTAAAGCGAACAATATCGATTAGCGATAGACTTGCTGTTACAGTAATCTTTTAGGATTATTATAATATTTTAGCTATTAATGTGACATATATCATAGATAAATTGGATATTTTTAAATAGTTAAAAAAAAAATAAATGGATAACCTAACCCAATCCTTAAATAAGACGTTATTGGGTTGGCTTGTGAACCCTATTTTGGTTAGGATAGTTTTGTTTCCTAAAAAAAAAAAATCATAAATCAATTTCAACTAAACAATTCTAATTAACCTAAATTAAAAAAGTTTGGGTTAATTGATTGTTGATCCAAATTTTATCAAGGCTTGGAATTGAAGGAACAGCCGTACCAACACTTAACATAATTGGGCTGGGCCTGAGCAAAATTGGGCTGAGACAAATTAGAGCCCAAAACACGATGTCGGTTCGGGTAAAAACAGATCTGCCAGTTGTCATTATCAAAAGGGGAATGAATTTGATGTTGCCGCCGCCACAACAACCAATTAGATTTCGCCACGATCACTCACTTCCAATTCCCACATTTTTTTTATAAAAATGACCATTCTTAACCTTTCATAAATAAAATAATTTCAATATTATTCTTTTTTCTTTTTTTTTTCTACCATTATTTTTTAAATACGACCAAATCTCATGTTAATGAATTAATTAAGGAAACTTGGATTTAGGGTTGCTATCAACTTTTACCATTCAAATTATAGTTCAAACAGTAATTAAAAAAATTTAACGTTCTGGTCGAGAATTATATATTCTGGAGGTAGGGTTAAGGTTTTAATTGCGAAGAAAAATAGAATAATAAATAGGAGAGAGAATAGGGGCATATGGGTAAATTGAAGGAAATAGTTAGAAGAGTGTTTGATTATGATAAGGCAAGAAGATGTCGTGAATATTGAGTAAAACAGTGAAAGCAAAGGGTGTCCAGGTCAGCCCCACCCACGGTACCATTGTCTCAATTTCTACCAACATTTCGAATATTTTGTTATTGTGCGTCTAGATTCTTTCTAATTATTTTTTCCTCCCTACCCTTTTCATTTATTACTCCCAACTCCACTTTATTTCGACCCATCTTTTAGGGGTCGATAATGTACGTCTTATCTAGTTGAGTTATGATTAAATTTGTTAAATTAATGAGTGTATATATATTTAATATTACCCTCGAACGTATGAGCTAAAATAATAACTAAACCTAATAAACTCAAACACGTGTATATAATTTCCCACTAGATTCAAAAGTTTAAGTTTGATGGATTTTGCATTATGAAATGATAAGAAACAAGTTGTTTGGGAAGAAATGCACGAAAAATTGATTTGTTTGTGACGTTACATGATTTTGACTCACACATAAAAGATTAAAAAAAAAGCGTATCTTTGGGTTGAGGTATATAGTCGTTTAGGGCACTGTTGAAGGAAGACGTGCGTGTGATTAGGAAGGCATTCACATCAGATTTATTAGAGAGAGAATGAAAGAAACATGGTGATAGATACGAATGAACAGCTATGGGTTTGAGTTTAAATTTGGGAGAGCGATGTTGAGAGAGCAAGGTTACCTACTAGCTTTGCAAATGTTTCCTTTTCTCTCTCTTCCTCGATGTGACCTGTCTCTAACTCACCACCATATCCTCTCGACCCTAACACCAACAAAACAACCCTCCACTGTGCTTATTTAATCAATCTTCTTCATCTAATGTTTTATGTCTTAGTTTCGTGCTCGTGTCTAGGGCAACAAACGCGTTTCTATAATAAACTAAGAAAACGGGCGATAATATATGATTAAGGTAAATATGAGAAGAGGGGTGAGGGTGTAGATTAAGAGGTTTGGTGGAGTGTCTGTATGTGATTAATGGTTGACTAATTGAAGGGATATCATATCATGATTGGGGGCAAAACCATGTTACAGCTGCCTCCCTCCCTCCAAATCCAACCACAAGTTGTCCAAATAAAAATCACTCCAAAATCAACGACATACGTTTCTCCACGTGGCTAAATCCCATTAGAGAGGACCTTGATAAGACATGCACATGCAACCACACTACACAAATTTCCACGCACCTTAATATTATTCTGCTCCATATATTATTCCTCTCCCACTCAAAATTGCAAAATTATATCACAACACACAGCGTTCTCAGGAATTTTTCATTGAGGTTAGCCGGAAAATGGTCAACATGCTTGAAACTGATCTCTGTCTCGGGCTTCCCGGCGGCGGAGGTGGAGAGCCGGAGACTCCGAAAGGTAATGGAAAAAGAGGATTCTCTGAGACGGTTGATCTGAAACTCAATATCCAATCTAAGCCTGTGGTTACCGTCGATCTGAGTACCACACAGAACATGAAGAGTACTGATTCAGAGGATCTTAGCTCCAAGGATCCTGCAAAGCCACCTGCCAAGTAATTAGCTTCCCTTCCCATCCCGTCCCGTCACGTTCCTTTACTCGGAAGCTTGTTTAAGTTGATGGGTTACGATATTTTTTTAATTATTTAGGGCACAAGTCGTGGGGTGGCCACCAGTCCGTTCCTACCGAAAGAACGCCATGTCTCAAAAGAATCCCGATGGTGGAGAAAAGGGTAGTGGCTCAGCTATGTTCGTCAAAGTTTGTATGGATGGCGCACCATATCTACGAAAGGTGGACCTAAAGACGTACAAAAGCTACCAAGAGCTCTCGAACGCCTTGGCTAAGATGTTCAGCTCCTTCACCATGGCTGGTTAGTTAGTTAACAATTGTTTTAAATACAAATTTGTAGAATAAATTGGGTTAGATCTAGAACATAAAATGGCAAATTACAGCAAATTAATTAATTAAATTTTGCGGGTTTTAATGTAAAGGTGAGTATGGGGCCCAAGGAATGATAGATTTCATGAACGAAAGCAAGTTGATGGATCTTCTAAACAGCTCTGAATACGTGCCAACCTATGAAGATAAGGATGGTGATTGGATGCTGGTGGGGGATGTCCCATGGGAGTAAGTTGCTTATCTCTACGGCCAATCAACTTTTACATCCGTTAATCTAATTATGCTTTATACTTTTAGGATGTTCGTTGATTCATGCAAGCGCTTAAGGATAATGAAGGGATCGGAAGCTATCGGGCTCGGTATGTATAAAAAGTTTATAATACATAAGAAATAAGATTTGCATTTAAGCCCCTAAAGTAAGTGGGAATTACATTTTGCAGCCCCAAGAGCGATGGAAAAATGCAAAAGCAGAAGCTGAAAGAGGAGTCTGATTGCAATATTTGTGTTTTTTTTTTTTTTTTTAATTTAAATTTAAATTTTGAATGTTGTNAAAAGAGATTTGGGAGATTAATTAATTAATTTGTAATAGGAAACAAGAAAATAAACTCTCTCTCTCTCTATACCTCTCTCTCTCTCTCTCTCCTATCCTGTCTGGCTGTTTGTTTGTTTGTCTGTTTAATCACAAAAAACAATTATAATGGGTTTTGCTTTTATTTATGCCTTTCTCTCTTCTTAATTTACTTTTTTTATTTTTTTATTTTTAATTTATTGTATTAATTATTGCATTTTGTAATGATTTTGGGTGTGGAAGCCATTAGGAATTATTATTATTATTATTATTATTATTATTTTCTTTCTTTGGGGGACATGACCATGTGGAGGCTTATAAAGATGTTTAATATATTAATGTGTTTTATTATCGACAGGGGTAGAAGGGTAAATTCACTACAAACAAATATTATTTGAAAATTCATTACTAATTAATATCTTAATTGATAGGGAATTATGTGGGCTTAACTAACACTTAGTATAACATAAAAATTTGCGATTATTTTTCTCATTACTATTACTTGGATATTATATGATGGAGATTAAATAAAATGAAAGAAATAAAGTATTTTTTTTAAAAAAAAAACTATATTGCTTAATTAATTCCAAAACAACAACACGATGTCCCGGTCATGCTTTCATGGGTAGTTAGGTCTTTACTATTCTTGTCATGTCAATACGGGATGTATGTTATTTATCAAAATCATGTCTGTACCCGCTAGAGCTAGAATGATAAGCACCAATAATGCTTGATTTTACAAAGCTAGGGGCACTTTGTATTTATTGTTACTCCATTCTTTTATTGATTAGGCGGTTGATTTCACATCATAAAATGTCCCAAAATGTACCATAGGAGAATGTGACTAGTTTAAGTTCTTGTTACATAGGTTATATGCTATCAAAATTGTAGTGGTTATTTAGTCGTTTTTAGCTTATAACATTGTCTTCTTTCAAATTGTTTTCAACGCATTTCCTTACTCACGTTTTATAAACACGTTTTCTATCAAACGTGACTTACTTGTTTACCATATTAGAACGAATGGCACATAATCGATGTCACGTTGTTGCAAGAGTGCGATTATGACTTGAATCGACTAAGCTAGTTTATATGATTTAATAGATTAAATGTTTCTAAATAATTTTTTTAATAATTTAAACGGAGGGATGAGATGTATGACACGATTTTAAAACTTTTAATGTTAACCCATCTTTAGGAAATTAATAGGGATGGATGGTTCTGGAATTGTTTGCCAATATGTTATGATAATAATAATAATTACGATATTATATTTAAAAATTAAAAAACAAAATAAAATAATAATAACAAGAACAAGTCCATGCTGCAATGCTTCCCTTCCATTTCTCTGATTTTTCTTGGATCTGACGCCCTCCATATATAAATAATAAATAATAAATAGAATATAATGTTATATGTTCGATAAATAAATAATTAATTATTAAATTATATTTATATAATTTAGACAATGTAGGAAATATTTTAATAATTTAATGTGACAAATGTAGGTATCACTCTAGATACATAGCTTAGGTTAAAAAAATGGGAACTTTATAAAAATAAACATTATAAATATGATATGTAACGTTTTATATTATAAAGTATTAATAATTCTTACATATCTTAGTCTCCCTTTGGAGCTCCTTGCTCCTTGTCTTCTGCCAAATAAATCGAATCATGTCCTGCAATTATATCCGTCTTCAAATTTGGAATCAATGTGAGAAACGTCAAACTATTTTTGAAATTTAATGGTAACCGCTGAGGTCTCTTTGGATTTTTTCAAAAAACGCTCTATTAGGACAAGGTTTTCACACTCTTATTTTTCGTTCCTCTCTCTAAATGATGTGGGATCTCAAAGTTCACTCTCCTTCAGGGTCCAACATCTTCGCTGGTACTTGTCCCCCTCTCCAATCTATGTGGGACCCCCCAATCCACTCTCTTCAAGGTTCAACCTCCTAGCTGACACACCGCCTGGTTTCCACCCCATTCGAGGCTTAGCCTCCTCGTTGGCACACTGTCTAGTGTCCACCTCCTTCGAGTTAGCACACTGCATGGTGTCTACCTCTTTCGGGACTCAGCTTCTTTGCTAGCATATCGCTAGATATCTATCTCTAATACCATTTGTAATTGGCTAAGCCCACCACTAGTAGATAATGCCCTCTTTGGACATTTCCTTTCGGAATTCTCTCATGGGTTTAAAAACGCGTTAACTAGAGAGAAGTTTACATGCACTTATAAAAAATATTTCAAAGTTTTTCTGTTTGATAATCTGCAGAGTAGACCAGTTGATGGATGGATGATACAAGGGAGAAGATATTCTTATTATTCACTCTCTTCTTTAGCAACCATCAACGCGAGAGTACAGCTTCTCATTCTGTAACCAAAATGCTGTCGAAATCAACAGCACAAGACAACCTCGTCCCACAGCAATGTCTGTAACGAAAATGCTGTCGAAATCGACAGCATAAGACAACCTCGTTCCACAGCAATGTCTTTCCACCGTGATTGCTCACAGAAAACTCATCTTGGTTCAAAATAACCAGAAAAACGCCCAAGAAATGAAAAGAAGCAACAGTAACAAGTTCAAATGATTGTAATATACAAGTGAATGTTGCCAAGCCAAAGCCAATCCAGATTGAAGATAACTATTGTAATGTTCAAGAACATGGTTACAAGCCAATGATGGAAAGAGTTGAAAGTGGACTAATTCCTGCAACTTCAGCTTCTGTTAAACATGGAAACTTACAGGATGTTTGTTTGGATCCTATGATCAGGCTAGAGGTGAAGTTGACACCGACACACGAACAATACATTACTAAATCCAATATGGTTTGTGTTTGCGTTAGTTGCTTCTAATCACCAGTGAGATTAATAATGTAACAGCCCAAGCTCACTACTCGTAGATATTGTTCACTTTGGTTTGTTACGTATCGCTCTCAGTTTCATGATTTTAAAACGCGTCTACTAGAGAGAGGTTTCCACACTCTCATAAGGAATGCTTCAACAGATGTGAGATTTCACAATCCATCCTCTTAAGGGCCCAACGTCCTCGTTGGCACACCGCCCTGTGTCTGGCTCTAATACCATTTGTAATAGCCTAATCCCACCGCTAGCAGATACTGCCCATTTTGGTCCGTTACGTACCACACCCTTATAAGAAATGTTTCGTTCCCGTCTCCATGGAATCTTAGAAATAACTTTAGAACAAGAAAAAGAATGGTTCTGTTCATAATTCTACTCCAGCGAATGACCAAACATCATCCTAACCTGTAATTAGCTTTACCAGGGATGGAAACGAGCCTTTGCCTCAGATCTCCTCAAACTACACAACTTGAGGGTCAGGTTAGTTCTATTTCCTAAAGTAATAGTAGACCATTTGATAATATGCAACTTCTCCCACCTGTCCTGTGTGAGGATGATTGGGAGAAGTCCACGTTGGCTAATTTAGTAAATGATCATGAATTTATAAATAAGGAATATATCTCCATTGTACGAGACATTTTGAGGAACTCCAAAGTCTAGTCATGAGAGCTTATGCTCAAAATAGACAATATCATACCATGGAGGTTCGTGATTCCTAACATCCTACCCTGCCCTTTCCTTGCATATTTCTACTAAATTACGAACTACAGACATGGCAGTATACCATCGAAGGGTCGGTCAGCCAGTGACGCATCTGCACGACATAGTAGAACTGTGGAACAAACAGCCACAGAACGAATACAGATATCTGTGGGCAGCTAAGCCAAGATAATTTTTTGAAGGTTCTATCTAATGGTCTATAAAGTTGTCATCCTGGAATGATACTCAAAGAATGATACATTCAACAAGAGCTCAAATAGACACATATTTTGTGCAGCATCTCATAAGTTTCCAGAGAACAAACTACGAACCCAAGAGAAAAACAATGGCTTTGGTGGCTCAAGAATCCAATTCAGTGACTAATTTAGTTTATGCAAATTCAAAGGGAAACATACAACAACGATAACATCCCAGTAATCAACAGATCAAACTCAGAAACACAAGCTAAAAGTAAAAGGAACAATAATGAGCAAAATTCAGAGCATAATGGAAATGAATACTTTTCTGCAATTCATTGTGTTCTGCAATGTACATTTCATCTAACAATATCAGTATATAAACCAGCACACAGTCGAACTTCTTTAGCTAAATCAATTGAAAAGAAGAACAGTAATTCAACAAACCCACATATTCAATCAGATGCCGCTGTAATCGCCTCTCGGGCTCTCCAACAGCGTATCCCCAAAAGGGTCTTATAAATCCCCAAGAACATCCTCCGTGCCCTTCAAAGCCGCATGCAAACAAACCACCACGGCCCCAATGGCAAGCGAAATCAGCACATTCACGAAAACCCCTGTCAAAGCCAGCGCCAATCCGGTAGCCAACCCAAGAATGATGACCAAAACAAAATCTCCCAACTCAAAACCAAAAACCCTAAGTGGGTCGTCGCGGGAGAAGTAAAGGACGTACCAGGCAACAAACACAAGGAAGAAGACAATCATGGAAAACGGATGGTAGATGAGGCCAAGAAAGATGAGAAGCAAGAGGACAAGACAGTAATTGGAAAGGAAACGGGTCAAGTTCTGAGAAATCCGAGAGGTCGCGTCGGAGAGGGAAGAAGGAAGGCTGAGAGCCAATGGGTCGAGGAATTCCCGCCATGGACGGCGGGTGGCGATGACGGATCGACCGGCTTCCTTGAACGTGACGGCGAATTCAGCGGTCGACATTGGGATAAAAACCTGAAAATTTTGGCCGGAGCAAGGCTGGTAATGACCGTCAAGAGTGGAAGATCCCAAGCTCCAATCAAAATGATCGGTCCACTCTAATGACCGAATAAAGTTAGTAACTTATTTGAGATTTACCGTCTAAAGTTAAGACTTTTCTAAATCTTCAACAATTGAGCATTTATTTTTCCACCAAATTAATTATTTTAATTATGTATCTTTAGAATTGAAATAAATAGAAACAACTATTTTAATTGTCAATTAAGCTGTAAAAAGTTTAAGTTTTTTTTTTACAATCCATCAATTTCTAAAATGTAGAGATGAACAATAAGGTTTTATTTCATAGGTCGATTACATCGAATCTCATTCGTGTCGATGAAAACAACAGCAACAACTGGAACTGGGTCAGACAGTAAGACAGAGACATCCAAAGCAGTGATTGGAAATGTGGAAATACGGCATCATCTGTTTGGATCTTAGATACCAAAAGCTTGATTAGTTGATTTGGGATATTTGGATTGAACAGTACTGTCTTGCATCTCCAACTTATAAGATTCAATGCATCCTGCACTCGGACGTCCTTAAATCAAGACACTCACATGAATTATCATTTGCCAAAAAGTAAGAACAAACAGAAAGATGCAGAAGGGAAGAAATCAGCAATCCGTGTAAGAATATATATGCTAATGAAGCAATACCAAATTTGTTGTGTTGTTCTAAGTTTGCAAGCCTAACTCATCGGCTTCCGACAATGAAATGGGTCCAAGTGTGTTGCTACCTTCTAAGCTAGCAAGCATCACAAACTCCTTTTTGATGCATCCTCTTTTCTCTATCCATCTCACACCAAGCACATTGAACCGTACAGCGCTCTCGGTTCGAATCGTGGCGAATTCGTTGCTTGAGAAGACAGGATTCTTACCACCAACATAATGGTAGGTTGGCATTTTACGAGATGAAAGAAACACGTAGTTGATCGGTCCACATTTTAGGAGCAATCCGCGACGAAATACGTGACGAACAACTCCAAGCAAGATTTCTCCCCCTGAAGGCACAAAGGTTCGGCAGCCAAAGGTAATGGGGAATGTAACATACTGAGATTTATTCTTGCACTGTCCCTTGCCTATGCTCTTCAAGCTAGTAACAGCAATAAAATAGCCATGGTCTTTGCTGGCCCTCTCCTTCAATAAGTTCTCTAATAGACGTGCCATAATGTACCTCTGGAAGTTGAGACCATCTCTATCTGCCTTTTCAGCCACCACTTTCACATCTCTCACTAGTTCCACTTCACAAAACATTTCCCAAATCTGATATAATTCATGAAAAACAATATAATTATCAAAAACATTTATCAATCTACTTCTTGTAAGATACTGGAAATTTGTAGGCATTCAGGAAATTAATCAGGAACCAAACGAAAAAGAAAATGTCAAACATCTGAGCCACCAATCTACTTCTTGAATTCATCCACTTGGAGAAAAATGCTTCAGAATATGAGATTTTCAGCCATATCTCCAGCCCATCACTTGGAGGATAAAAGATAAGTTGAATCAAAGATGAATTATGTGTTCATGTTGGTCTCTAACATCAGCGTTATGAAATAAAGATAAAAAAAAGGTCAACAATGTCATGAACTAGAAAACTAAAAGGTTCTTGCATCTAGCGAATATTAAACAATAAATCTAGCCGAGAACAGGTGGAGTGTATTAGTAGAGCACCTAGAAGGATTCCAAACAGCAGTATTAAAAACTTGAGATCGCCATGTTATGAATTGGAAGATCGCACATCGATTAAAACCCCTTAACTCTTAAGAAAAAAAATTATAACAAAGATACCAGAGTGTTTGGTGATTCTGTGGATTCCAAATGGAACAATGAGGAATAAGCAAAGGATCCACCGGAATATGCTCGACGATTTATACTTTTCAAGATTATGCCAAATCGAGTCCAATCATTTCATGGCTACTTACAGAAATCCGATTCTCTGTTCACTAATTGACCACACGAACTTTAATTCGAGTAAGCAACACAATCGCCAATGGATCACAGTCTCCAATTCATTCCAATAACCTCAACATCCAAACAGAGGATCGGATCAAGAATCAAACTGCAAATGAGAAATCACAGACTCTGCCTCGAATAACAGATGTACAAAACGGACATAAACTCAATTATCCTTCAATTACAGAGAGCCAGAACCGGCTACAGATCTCAAATTCCAATTTCAAACACATCCATAAACTTTGAAAAATCAAATACGATGCGAACCAAATTCTTCCACACGGATTACAGAGGGGCGAAGGTAATGAGGAGATACCTGTTACAGAAAACTGAGGGCGGCAGAGGCGGAGGCGGACGCAGAGGAGCGGCGGCGAGAATCGCGAGGAACTAGAAAAGTGAAATTGGGCGCGCAAAACGAACCGTTGCCATATTCTGATTGGTGAAGTGCATTGCAATGGATAAGCGAAGGCTAATGGCTTTGCCATTTATACAGGAACAAAATTTGGATATTGGAAATGGACGCTGCTCCGATATGCTTACTTTTCGTCGTTTCTCCCATCGAATCTATGACGTGTCAATGTAATTCCTATTTTTTATTTTTTATAATTACAAATTTAGTCTTTTGAATTAGTCAAATTAATTTTCTAAATTTATTAATTTTAAAAAGTTGTCTTAATGAACCTTAAAATTTTTAATTTAGAATCCATACACATATGGTACACAAAATTTTTAAAAAAAAAAAATTTGAATTTTATAATTAATCAAATATTAAAAAAGAAAGTTAAATTTTAAAAAACTAAACTTATAATAAAAATAAAAAAAGAAAAGAAGACAGGAGCTCATTTTTTTTTGCTTTGTCAGTGAAACCCATAATCCCATTGAAGAAGCTTTTCATTTTCTTGTTATACCTTTCTCTCTTCTTCGTTCGTCCGTGGTCCGGCAAACAATTGTGCTTCTGTAATCAGCAATGCCTCTAATTCAGAGTCGTTTAATCGTCCGTGGTCCGGCAAACAATTGTGCTTCTGTAATCAGCAATGCCTCTAATTCAGAGTCGTTTAAAGCTTCCTTCTCTGAGTTCCATGGCTCTTACGTTTTACCGATGTGCAGTTCGTTAGATATCATTAGCAATCACTCCTCTTCGTTCGATATCTTTAGCAATCGCTCCTTCTCGAATTCCATATGGGGGTTTAATCGGAGATAGGTGGAACAAAACTGCGAAACATAATCGCCCAAAACCACCTCGCTCCGTGTTGGATCATCCCAGTAGTGATGACGAAGAAGTTTCAACTTCGAGTACAATGGAGAGGATTGTGAGAAGATCCAACAAATTTGGTAAGATGGATGGAAGTTTCAACTTCGAGTACAATGGAGAGGATTGTGAGAAGATCCAACAAATTTGGTAAGATGGATGATGATAATGAAGAGAAGGGGCGAGAGAGAGCCATTGATGCACAGATGCAAGGCATCATTGGCAGAAATGAGTCTTCCTGAGTCAGAATTGAGGAGAGCCATTGATGCACAGATGCAAGGCATCATTGGCAGAAATGAGTCTTCCTGAGTCAGAATTGAGGGAGGTTGAGGAACTTATTGTTTCAAAAGCGAAGATAGGCATTTGAATAATAGCTATTTGATCTGATCCCAATATAAGAAACATTCTCCAGTAAAATAAAACAAATCGAAAGAACCTTAAAGAACACACACACAGGCATCACATGAACAGCTTAGGCATTCTTAGTAAAACAACTAGAACATGTCTCTGAACCATCAAAATCATCTTTCACTGTTTATAGAAATTAAATTCCGGTCAAAAAGTAGCCAAAAATAGACTAATACAGCAAAAAATAAACATCCATAAAACTTGACGAAATGGAGAGTATGCTCCCAGACCAACAAATGGTATTCTCTCTTCACTTCAGAGGAATGAACCTGGATGAGTGAGTAGCACCAATACCAGGTCTACCGTGCTTAACAGGCTTGTATGATATGGAAAACTCAGCTAGGTAATGGCCGATCATCTCAGGCTTGATTTCAACCTGGTTGAAGGTCTTCCCATTGTAAACTCCAATGATGCTTCCAATCATTTCAGGTACTATGATCATATTACGAAGGTGAGTTCTAACAGGTTCTGGCTTCTCACCTGGTGGTGCCTCACGTTTCTGTACATAAAAAGGGAATGAACATGTGAGATTGATATCACATTCTCCAAGCCACCATTCACCCATGAAACATCACTAGTAAGCAGTAACATTAGATTATAGATGATAGATGAAAGATAAATTTATCTGAACGCAAGACTCAAAAGTCGATGGGGAAAAATGCAAATTAGTCATAATTGGAAGAGCCTACGCTCAGATTCTTGGAGAATCAAGAATTAGGTAGGTGAGTGTCTTCCGCTTTCAATACAGATTCCAAATTGAATAACGAAAAAGAAGAGAATTGCTCAAACAGTGGGAACTTCCCAAGCGAACCCTGTGGCAGAACAATATTTAGGGAGGCAACCAAATCAAACAAAGCACCACATTTTCACATAAGTCGGGGAATTAGTAGTACGCCGAACGTTTACCTCAAGTTAAAAGTAGTTTCAGGAAAACCACCGAATTTCTTTCCCAAAACCACTCACCTTATATCAACCAAGAAAAGCATACAACCCGCGGATTTGATAATAGCACGGTACATTAAGGTGGACTTCTATTTTTCTATCTAGCATACTACCAATGAATTAGACATGCACGTACAGGTAGCAGATTTAAACAAATGAAATTAACTTTTCCAGTTACAAAATGGAACATAAATAGGAAGTACAGGTAGCAGATTTAAACAAATGAAATTAACTTTTCCAGTTACAAAATGGAACATAAATAGGAAAGGGAGCAATTACCGCTTTGCGTAGCTTCTTGATCAAAGCCATTGGCTTTCTAGTCAGACCCCTCCGGAACCTAAAACAGAAAATGGAGAGGAAGAGTAAAAATCAGCAAATAAATCATTCCAATTACCCTCCGGAACCTAAAACAGAAAATGGAGAGGAAGAGTAAAAATCAGCAAATAAATCATTCCAATTACATTTATCATTTGAACTACCTTCTGCGAGCCCTAGCAGTGAAGAGCTTGACAAGCTCGTCGGTGGACATGTCGAGGAGAGCATCCAAATCGACTCCACGGAAACTGAACTTCTTGAACGTCCTCTTCTTCGGCACTCCTCCGGCCGCCGCGACATCAGGATTATCGTCCGCCTACGAACACGAAATCTAGGTTAGATGAAGTAAACAAACGTCAAACCAGAATGCGAGAAATTCTTCGAGCCTTACCATGGTTGGAGTTCAGAAATCAGAAGCCCTAGTCTGAGTGCGAATGAGGATTGTGGCTGCTAGGGTTTTCAGTGGAGTAAATTTGCCGATTAAGATCATATATAAACTCTAAAGCCCTGGACTGCAATTATATTTGCTTAAAAGACCTTTAACTTTTAATATTCAACTTTCGCCCCAAATACTACAAATTGGGCCTCATAGGTAAGCCACGGTAGAAAACAGGCCGAATATATCCAACCAACAAAGCCCAAATATATATATATATATATATTTTTTTTAAATGAGTTTATTTAATATTACTATTATTATTATTGTTATTATATTTTTCCTTCCATAATTTTTCACGTACTTTATCTAAATCCTTAAATTTTATTTCTTAATAATTATTTTGTTTTTAATATTTAATTATTAAGTTATTCCTTTTAATTATTTAACATTATTACGTCTATCTTTCATTAAAAATTTAATATCAACTCATTTGAGATTAGATATCATGTATCATTTTAGGATGACCAACATAATCTCTCTCACATAGAAAGTTCTTAGGATCGAAGAACGAATGTATGCAAAAATAAAGCATAATACACATACAAAAAGAACCAATACTCAAATATCATAAGGCATAATACACACACAAAAAAAAACCAATACTCACATATCACGTTTTTTTTTTTTCACTTCATCCACTCATTAAATTTACAAGTTTTTTCACCGTAAAAATTCATTTGAGATTGTTCTTGAACTTTCTAGCTTTTTAATCACATATTTAAGCTCTTTTTGACAACTTAGCCTAAAGGAAGTCATTTCTTTCAAAATGGAATCAGGTTCAGAAAATAGACTCGAGTTTGGATAAAGCTCATAAACTGATTCTGCATCAATGTTTAAATTACTCAATGTTGTCAAACGCGCACGTGCCTCTGGGTCAACCATCTCAAACGGCTTGTTGCTCTCTTTTCTATAGATCAACTGCAAAATTCGAAACATTAAAAAGAATGAATACACCAAACATTCAAATTTGAATTCATATATAATTTTATAAAGTTTTTTTTGTAACGGGCGAAGCCTACCACTATGAGATATTGTACTCTTAGGCTTTTCCTTCTATACTTCCCCTCAAGATTTTTAAAATTCATCGAGGAGATGTTTCCACATTTCTGTAAAAGATGTTTCGTTCTCCACCCGGTATGAGATAAATGATCCATACCATACCATTATTTTATTCAACTATTCACATAATCTAAATTCCATTCATGATGTTCAAGATCCAACCAAATAAGTTTAAAATAGTTTAAAATACCTTAGGTGGATTGCCAGTGGAATTGGTGGAATAGAGCCTGACACTATCAACAACTTTGGAGTATTTTGGAAAAGCATTAGCAAATCTCTTGTGGGATTGCAACTGAGAATTCACCCTCACAGCCCTTCCCATCACTATGGCTCTCCTGCACAAATCATCACAGCCTTCATTAGAACCATAAATGGCTCAAGATGTCAATACCAAAGCGCCAAAATTTTGCTTCGATCCTTACCTTATTCCTCTAACAACAGCTAGATGAGCATCACAAACAACTCCAACCAACTCTATTCTATACGCCATTCTATTTTGCATTTCTCCATGCTCCTTCCTCAATTCCTTCTCTTCTTCTTCACTCATAGCCTCCCAGTAATCCTCTGTCACTTTTCCATTCTCTACCTTGTACCCAACTCCCATTCGATATCGACGCTTGTGAATGTTTTGAGCCATTTCAATCGTCTGCATAACGTATGGCTCCCAAGACAGAGTGCCATCCAAGATCACATCCCGTCCCTCGTTTAATGCTGTGACCAGCAACGATGATGCAGCATCGGTAGATGGCTGGTGTACCTTTTACGATTCGTCGTAGTTAGCTGGTTTGCTCATTGAAACAATTCGAGATGTAATTTAATGTGTGGGTAGGAAGGCGCTCACCAATTCAGCAGTTTGAAGCATGTCGTCGTGATAGCCCATTGAGCTGATGGCTTGGTAGATAACATCAGTCTCTTTGAAGGCATCTGCCTCTACCATCACTCTATTTGTTTCTGCTTCCAACCAGAAGGGCCTGCATAATTAGCATCTGTTTATCAGCAAACTTCGATATAAAATTTCTAAACGAGCTTCTATATCAATATTACGCACTCTTTGCAAATGTCTTTGAGGACAGTACTCTTGCCAGCGCCCATGCCACCACCCATAAGAAGAAGCACAGGCCTCCTATCTCTTAGAGACGATGGTGGTACCGTGTGGGAGAATTTCGACTCACCCTTAGATGGAGCACAACCTATCTTCTTCATTTCCTCCACCAAAGTAGAGAATACCCTTGTCACTTTCAGATCCTTAGACACCCTATCGAACCTCTCCTTCCTATCAAATGGCCAGAAACCAATATAGGAAAATAAATACTCAGATATCTTCACTTAATGAAATTATCAAATGAATCTTAATTCTATTCTAGAAGATGCACCACGATTGAAGTTTCAAAGTTCAAACTCAGGAACCAAATTTGACTTCTCAAGCAAATTGACAGATCTAAAAGGAAAATACCTAGTCGCTGCCACCACAAGATCTTTCAGCTTCTTGCGCTCGGAGTCGAC